AGCCCAGGCAGCTGCCTTCAGAGGCAGGGATCTTAAGAGCTTCGTGATAGCTACTGTGGATAAACTTACTCTTTTGGTGCGGGGGTGGCGGGAGGGAAAGAGTCTGGTAAAACAAAATCCCGAAGACGACGACCAGTTGAAAGGTAGAGAGAGGCCGGAGCACCCGCCGCCGGAGCGCGGGAGAGGGGAAGGGGCGGCAGCGCAGAACTAGAACCCGGGTGGGCGAGAGCGCAGAAGGGGGGTCCAGGGGAATGCAGGGACAAGCGCAGCGCGCGGAGGGGCCCCCAACTCGGCGACCCGGGTCAGGCCCGACCACCGCCCTCACCTCGACAGGGTAGAGCTCGTGCGGCAGCACCGCCTGCAGGTCCAAGAGCAGGGTGATGGGGATGTGGGAGAGGAAGTAGAAACCCAGCAGCCACTCGAGGCCACGCCGGGCGCCCAGAACCCCCATAATCCGTTAGCTAGGCTAAGCAGTAGCCGAGACTGCGCTCGCAGGAACCCGCCGACGTGGGAAGACAGGCGGGATCTGTTCCACGTCCCGGGACCCCGCGCCGAGGCCGCCCGCCCCGCCTCTCCCTTCCCCTCCCTTTCCCTCCCGCTTGAAGACCACGCCGGCTGCTCCCATTGGCTGTTTGAATCGCCACGGCGCGGGAAGGGGCGGGGCTCACCGCTGGGCGCGTCCATTGGCTCGTCTCGGGTAGCGTGTCCGACCGAGCGCCGCGTGAGCGGGGGCGGGGCTCCTTGTCCGCCGCGTCTGCGCGCTCGCGGTGCGCCGACAGCTGGCTAGCGAGGGGCGCGACTGCGTGTCGCGCCGCTGGCCTCGTGGCACGCCGAGCTCAGGGGCGGCTGCCCACCGTGGCGCCTGTGGCTCATTCCTCCATTCATTTAGTCCTTATCGAGTGCCGGGCCGTGGGCTCCTATGAGGGTAAAGCTCCTAATCCCAAATCAGTGGGAGTCACAGTCTAGGACCGGCCAGGCAGGCCAGTGCTTTGTGACCCGCGCGGTGGCGAAATCCTCGTCCCGTGGGAGTGGAGGGGACCCAGAAGCCTTCCGAAGGCTGTGTAGGAGGCAACCAGCCTCAAGAAAGAAGAATGGGGTAACTAGGACGTAAAATTGACAAGCCTGAGCCACTGGCTACAGAGAATAAGGAGGGGCAGGATGCATTTATTCATTATACTTTTCTCTATAGACTGAACCCTGGGTCTGCCCTGGGGGAAAGGATGAGTGCGTGCCACTGGCTGAGAAGTGAATTGAAGGGAACGTTAATTTGGTTTAGCAGGTTCATTTGGATGTTGTGAGCAACAGCGATTGATGGAGGTTGAGTTTTGAGGACAGAGGGCCTGTAAGAGATCTTAGAGGTGCTTCAGCCTCGGGTCATGGAAAAGGGGGCTGATGCAGGTGGACAAGAAAGGGTGCAGTGTGACAGAGGAAAGGAGGGAGGGTCAGATGGTGATCGGAGGCAGATGACAACAGCAGGGAGTGAAGAAGCAGGGAAATAAGTGGAGGGGGGAGTGTAGATTCACGTTATGAAGGGAAGGAAAGAGATGAGACAGTAGTTTGAGGGAGATGTGCTCCAGAGGCTTATTTTCAGTTAAGAGAGGAGAGCTTGAGTAGGTGTGTTTGAAGTTTCTTGGATGGGGGAAAATGGGAAGATTAGGGTCAGGTCAACAGATCTCTGTGCTTGCCTAGGTAGACTCCGTAGAATTAGGACCGATGAGAATTACTGACAGTTGCCCTGCTGAAGTGGGTGCCCATTAATCTGGAGGCTCCAATTTCCTAGCCTTGTGCTTTTCTCCAGTGTGGAATCTGCTCAGAAAAAGGTCTCTTTCCGGATTGGGGTTCAGAAAGGCAATGGTGATTTTGAGGAGCTGAACAAGATCGTGATTGAAATGATGGTGGTGTCTGCTGACCCAGTTCAGTCAATGGATATGTAGCTGGATAGGGAGAAACATGAGGCCAAGGAGCTGTTAGACTGGGAGAAAGTGGAGGCAGGAATAGCTTGAGGAAGATGTGCCAGCATGTTGGGAGAAAGTGAATGAATGGGGGATTAGGACAAGGAGTTCCTGGTGTTGGGGGATGTTTGCTGGTGGAAGAGGTCTTTTGGAGTTGAAGTCAAAGAACAGAAAACCCCAAGTGTGGGCTGGGTCAACTGCACAGGCTAGCTAGGATGGTGGTGGCAGGTGGCTGGAGAGAAGGCTGTGAGCCTCTTGCTTATATAGTTGCTTTGATATTAAGCGGAGTAAATATCACCAAATATCACTTCATCAAGTGTGATGGGGCGAGGTACAGCATAAACCTGAGGGCAGACGGGAAACAGTGTGGACCTAGCCTTGGGCACCATGGAAGCTGGTGACCCCATCTCCTGACCCTGAGCTGTGGAGTGTGAGAAAACAAACAGCCTGTGTGGAGAGGGTTGTAGGGAGGCCAAGTCCTTGACAGGGAGCCAGGTGTCATTTACTGTGGGAGGTGAGGTTGAGGGTAAGAGGGGCTTGCTAGCCCCCTGGTGTGTGTGTGGGGGGGTTGGGCTCTGGGGAGGGGTACTTGAAGGGATTAGGGAGTGGGGACAGTTGGGGACAATCAGGGTGGAAGGAGAGGGAAGTGGTGATAGTGGTTTTTTTCTGGGGTGGTGAGCAAGGGCTGACCCATTAGGGTGAGTGGACATTGTCAGAACGGGAAAGCCTGGCCTCCCCAGGGCCCCTGGGGCAGGCTGCAGCACTCCTTACCCACACAGCTGAACTGGCTTTCAGGACAGCAGCCCCTTTTAAGCTGCACTCCTTGCTGATTGTAATAGCCTGCTAACTGGTGGGTATGGGGTGGGGGCCCCTAAGCTGGGGTTTGCTCAGGGAACATGATAAGTGTACAGCTGTTAATGGGGCAGTTCCTCAAAAAACACCCCACCTAGCCAACCTTGTTATCTGTAGATAAAGATTTTCAAGGCCAAGCACTTTTACTGAAAGGCCTCTGTCCAAATAAAATCTTTTCCAGCTGCTGTCTTGTTTGAAATTCCTTTAGTGGGGGAACTGCAGCTCTTAACTTGATGAGGTCAGATAAGCAATAGAAGGCAAAAATGGCCCTGGGGAGAGGGACATGACTAATCAGCAGATTTATCACCCAAAGCAAGTGTTTGGTGAAAGATGATAAAAGAAAAAAAGAAAAAGTTGGCTTTCTTGTCCTGAAAGGGAAGATGCCAAGTTTGTTGTCTTTCAAAAGTTATTTGTATTGTGAAGAGACAGACACCATTAGCCTAGCCTAGGGATGGAAACAGGATTCTAGCATTGTGATCCCAGCTGAACAATGCTGGAAGGCCCATGACAAAGTGGTCACTTCCCACTGTGGTAGCAACTGTACAAAGCGCTTCCTATTTCACTTTAGAATATACCTGTGTGTCCTCCCTTGCCTCCTTCCCCACCCCCATGAATTTTCAGAAGCAGTCACCCTCCCATTGCCCTATTTGATTCCTTTCACTCAGAGTGACACTGATCTGAACACTTGTCTCTATACTTTCCCTGCAAGACGGTAGTTTTCTCACAAAGCTGGGGTCATCATTGAGAGGCCTAGTGAGTGGTCAGACTCCTCTGCCAGCAAGAGATTGTCACCTAGTGTGGTTGTGAAGAGAACACTAGGTGTAAGAACAGCCAGCCAATAGCAAGATTTAGATTTATCAAGTTTCAAGAGGGCCTGCTGCTAATGGAAACTGATAAGACCTGGAAACTGCTGTGGCTTTAGAATTAGCAGACGCCTCCGTACTTCAAAGGCAAACAGTTTGTTCTTTAGCAAAAGCCAAGATTCTGTCAGTGTTGGGAGGTGTAGGAGATTCAGGTTTCTCCAGTTCTGTGGGTGTCACCCAGTAACCCGGCAGAGGGCAGCAAGTCTGTTGCCCTTTCACTCAACCTGTGTACGTGGGCGGAGCTGCAACAGCTGGCAGTTGATTATGAACACCTTTGTTTAAAAGTCCATTTAGGGGCCCTCCCTGGTTCCACAACGGATTAGGATGCAGCACTGCAAGATGGCCATGGCCGCTTGAGGCAAGTTCGATCCCCAGCCCTGGATGTGTACCTGTCAATTGGCCTGTTCTGCTCCCCACTCTCTCTGGTGAAGCCGTTCACAGCCCCTGCACCTCTGGCTTGTACCCCAGTTTTGTGTGAATAAATAAATAAATCTTTTTTTTTAAAAGTCTATTTAGACCTTTTGCATTGAAATATTATTTATCTGGACTACTGACTTTGCCTGTGTCCGCCTAAGATTTGTGTCTGAGGTGTTTCATTTACCTCCTAGTCCCAGTCCTGTTTGTCAGTAGGAGGGGTCCATTTTATTTGGTGAGATCCGGTTACTGGTTTGGAAAGCTAAGAGACAACAGACTTGATGTCAGGACAAAGACAGTGGGAGATCTACAGCAAGGCAGTTTGGGATTACAGTAGTGCTTTAGGATAACGCTATTCTTAGTGTACCTAAGTATATGAATATGTGTGTGTGTGTGTTTGTATATGGAGAAACTAATAATGCAAATGCAGTGTCTGAAACTAAGTGAAGGGTACATGAGTTTTCATTATACTATTTCTTCATATTGCTCAGTAGGTTTGACATCTTTCAAAATAGTTTTCAGGAGAACAGAGATAGCCAAGCCTATCTTCCCTAAAAAATAAAAACAAAAAGCTTCCATTATTAGATGGCATCATGAACACCTTTTTAAAAACCAGGACAGAAACTTTTTATTATTCCTTTTTTAAAGTTAGGAGAAAACAGTTTTGGCCTTTTGTTTAGACTACAATGTTTTTTTCAAAGACCTTTATACTTCAGCATAAAATCCCAAAGAAAATATTAAAAAAAATTAGAATCAGCAAGATTAGTTAGGTTACAAGGTAAAAACCAATATAAAAAAATCACTTGTATTTTTATATACTGGCAATGAACAATCTGAAAATAAAATCAAGCAATTCAATCAAAAGGAATAATATACTTGGGAATACATTTAATAACGTGCAAGATTTGTACACTGAACATGACAAAACATTGAAAGAGTTAAATAAGTGGTAAGAAAGCCTGGGTTCATGGATCAGAAGATTTAGCACTGTTAAAAGGCTGTATTTCCCAAATTGATCTAAGATTCAATGCAACCCTATCAAAACCTCAGGTGGCTTTTTGCAGATATTAACATGCTGATCCTAAAATGCATATGGAAAAGCCAGGCACATGGGGTAGCCAAAATAGTCTTAAAAAAAAGCAAAGTTAGGCCCTCTCTGGTGGTGTAGCAGGTTAAAGCAGCACTGTGAAAACTATCCACAGCCACTGAAGCTTGAGTACCATCCATGGTCAGGGAGGTGGCCCATGTGGTGCGGCAGACCTCTTATCTTGCCCACTGCTCCGTTCAGCAGTATATTTCAGTATATCTGCCTGTTCTGCTCCCCACTCTGTCTCTGGTGGATCCTCTCACACCTGCACTTTTGGCCTATACCCCAGTTCTTATATGCACGAATAAACACATCTGTAAAAAAGTTAAAGGACTCACAACTCCTTTCAAAAGTTACTGTAGGGCCTCCCTGGTGGCACGATGGGTT